CGATATGACACACGGGGGTGGGGGCAGCCGCCGCTCAACCTACATCCACGTGGGCGGCCTTGTACGCAAGAGGTTCTGAACAGGGGGAGTTATAAGGAAGAAGATTAAATCATGAATTCGTTTTTTCCTGTTTTCCTTCTTTCTTTCGTTTTCCTTTTTCTCGCTTTTGCGCTCTGATATGTGCAATGAACCCAAAACGTGAAGACAGTTGTCAACAATGCAAGCCCAGATAAATGTCCATCAGCTGGTGATTACTAGAAGTCAAAATCGTACCAGACAGATGGAGGTGAGGAAATCATACAGAGACGAAGAGAGAGGAGGGAGATGAGACAAAGGAGAGGAAGTACAATACCCACTCCTGCTTCGGGCTCCGTCTTCACAACCACCTCAATAATCAATAGTCTGAATGAGTATCCGAAATAGCCTCAATGTGCCACGTGGTAGTCTAATCAGTCCCACATCATCATCTGGAGCAATGTCGACATGAAGACCACCAGGTATGTATCCTCGAACTCTCCACAGTCCTGATCTCCTCCTGAAGTGACGACGAAACAGAACAGCAATGCCGATTACGTAGTCCCAGCCATAGAACACGTGGCAGCAGCCACGTCAACCAATGATACACGTGGCAGCAGCCACATCAGCGATAGCGCATGGCAGCTGCCACGTCAGCATGCCAAGAAGACAGGAGCAAGCCGGCCACCATGTCGGACTAGCAGTGCCTCGCCAAGTCACAATGCCAGCGTTGCAGCATCGAGCCAGCGTTGAAGTCAACACGTGAAGTCAACATCAACGCAAGACATAATGAATGTCAAAGCGAGGAAGTCAGTTCTTATGTAGTGTTGACGTGGGGTCTGGACGCCGGATGCTGTATCCCTCGGTCGTCCAGATCTCAATGCGAACGAGGGCCCAGATTGGCCTGAAACCGAATTCCCTCCGGCCTGGATGTTGTTTGGGTACCTGCGCACAACAAGTGAGTGTATGCAACCAAGGGCCTGGGTGCGGTACCTTTGACTCTATAGTTGACTTTGACTCTTGAATTTCCTGTGTGCAGCGTTCGGTCACACAACCACGCTCGACAGACTCAGGCCTGGGCTTGTCTTGGTCACACAGCCCAGCGCAGACCTACTCAGGTCTGCGTGGCCTGGGGCTGAGTTCTGGGCCCAAGGCTACTTTTGAACAGGGTTATTACATTCCTGCCGGCCCATTTTCGAGTTCATCCACAAAAATATTTAAGTCTTTAACCCTCGTTCATAAGCAGCGACAATATCAGGAGTAGTTTCAAGTAGTTCTCGTTTACTAGACCATTTGTCCTCAGATGGTGCTCGAGTTTTAAAACGTACCTTGAACTGCTTCTGAGGTTGTCCACTTTCTCCCGTAGAGAAGTAACCATGCTCTATGATCCTGTCAACCTCGTATCTGCCATCCATGTCTGGTGGAATCATAGAGGGTCTGTGTGGAAACTCATTTCCTTCTACGTAAGGCAACAATTTGGACGCATGAAAGAAAGGATATGTTTTGAGATGAGGGGGAATATCAACTCGATAAGACGGTCCCTCTGCATCTCCAATTACCTTGAGAACTTGCCAGGGTCCAAAATAGACAGGTAGCAATTTCTAGGACACATCTTCTTCTAGTGAAAACTCTTTAGATTTTACCCAAACCAACTCACCCTCTTTGAATGTTGACGGTCGACGGTGCCTGTTGGCTTGTTCAATTATTCGTAGTTGAGCTTTCCTTAGATTATCTTTAACTTTCTGAATGTCCTCCTAAAACAAAATTGCATATTCTCGGGGGGCAGCCTAAGGAACTGGTCCCGATTTAGTACATCAATGGGACGTTTAGGCTTCCACCCTTTGTGAAGTGCATTTGGGGTTCGTCCAGTAGAAGTGTGGACACTATTGTTATATGCACTCGCAATTTTAGGTAAGTTCTCGTCCCAATCAATCTAATCGGGTCTAATATACATACGCAAAAGTTGCTGGCACAGACGGTTCATCTGTTCAGTCTGGCCATTCGTTTCGGGATGCCTCCCTGACGACATGGTCAGCAGTGTGCCATAAGCTTCAATCAGCTTTTACCATGGCAGACTGGTGAACCTGACATCTCGATCAGACACAATGGTTTTAGGGAACCCATACTCAGTGACCCATCGCATTTGAAATTTCTGAATGATAAGTTCAGTACGCGCTTCTGATGGTAAGGAAACAAACATAGTGTATTTAGGGAAACGATCCACAATTACCATCACTTGACTATTACCATTGTGACTTTTAACCAGACTCATGAAGCCAATTGAGATAGACTCACTTGGTTCGCTTGGTATAGGTAATGGCTTGAGAAGCCCAAGAGGATTCTCGTGCGACGACTTGTTTCTCTGACACACTAAACAGGTACGAACATATGTTAGTACATCTTCTTTAAGTCCCTTCCATTCGAAACGTTCTCTGACTTCAGCATATGTTTTCTCGAAACCAAAATGACCCTCAGAACCTTGACATTCCCCAATCAACAGACTTTTTTAATTTCTTCCTTACGAGGAATACACAGTCTTTGTTCGGTTTGGTCAATCAAGAACAACAATCCATCAGTCAGTCTATAGCTGGGTAGTTGGGACGGATCTCGTACAAGGATATCCATGATTGGTTTCCATATAGGATCAGTAGCATATCCTTGGCGAATTTGTTCTTTCAAATCATTCCCAACATCCAAGTAAGAGACAATTGCACCAAAGAAATCACTCCGTCTGGACAATGCATCTGCAACCAAATTAGACTTACCTTTGATCGTTTTCAATTCAAAATCGAAGGTATCAATAAACGCAGACCATCGTACCAGCTTATCAGAGAGCCTAGGTTGTGTCTTTATCCACTTCTAGTGCATAGACTAAGGCATACAACTCCCTTTCATAAGTGGAGTCGGCAACCTTTTCCGACGGCAGTCGTGCATACATAAATTTTATGGGCCTGTAGCCCTTGCCGTCATCCTGCTAGAGAACAGCGCCAATCCCATACTGACTTGCGTCAGCGGTGACAATGAAAGGCAAAGACGGGTCAGCAATCTTAAGGACGGGGTAGTGAGCCAGAGCATACTTCAATTTTCGAAAGGAAGACTCACAATCCTTATCCCACAACCAGATAGTTTCTTTTTTTAACAATCTTCGCATTGGTGCAGCGATCAGTGAGGAGTTTCTGACAAATTCCTATAATAACTAGCTAGACCAAGGAAAAATCGCAGTTCAGTGATAGACTTAGGTTGTGGCCAATCTCTAATTGCTGATTTCTTTTTCTCTTCCGGCCTTAGTCCTTCTTCATTTACTATATGTCCTAGGTATAATACTTCGGACTTAGCAAACTCAGACTTCTTTGGGTTAATCTTGAAGTTGCCCTCACGTAACTTCCCTAGCACCAGACGAAGGTGCTTCTCATGATCTTCTAGTGTCTTACTGTACACTAGAATATCATCGAGATAGACAGTAACAAACTTATCCAACCATTGACGAAACAAGTCATTTATTGACCTTTGAAAAGTAGCAGGGGCATTCGTTAATCCGAAGGGCATTACCACGAACTCATAGTGGCCATACCTGGTCCGGAAAGCGGTCTTATGCTGATCGGAAGGTTCCACCTCGATCTGGTGGTTCCCAGATTTCAAGTCGATCTTGCTAAAGTATCTGCATCCCTGTAACTGGTCAAGTAAGTCGTCAATTCGTGGAAGAGGTTCGACATTCTTAACAGTGACGACATTCTTAACAGTGACGACATTCAACCCTCTATAATCAATACAGAGACGTAACTCACCTTCCTTTTTGGGCACAAATAGGACATCGACACCATAAGGAGAAGAGCTAGGGCGAATCCATCCTTTCTCTGTTAAGTCTTGCAGTTGTTTCCTCAGTTCATCAAGTTCCCTAGCAGACATTCGGTAGATAGGGCCCTTAGGAATCTTACTGCCAGGAATAATTTCAATGGTGTGCTTTATAGCACGCGAAGTTATTCCTGTTGGTTCGGTAAATAAGTCTTTATACTCGCTTAAGAGTTTTTCAGTCGAAGAAGGATGGGAAGTAGAAAACTCTCCTGCTCTTTTTACTAAAACCAACATTACTTCCTGTTCCAACTTCTTCTTTGAAACTATTGACTGAAAGGTTGGATAACTCATACAACAAAAGACAGACTAGAGTCAGAGCCAGACTTATGAAACAATTTGATTGGTTTCAATTCAGATTGTGCGTCTCGCAATTGCACAACCTTCTCTTTGAACTTAATATCTGGGTTGGCTTCCTCGTGCCAATCCATTCCCAGAATCAAGTCAAACGGTAGGTTCTTTTCGATCAGGAAGGATACCTCATGCAAAACCTTCTTACCTTCCCTTGTTCGAAACCAACACTTGACATACTGCGAGACAGTGATCGTGCTTTTGTCAGCCAAAACAGACGTGATAGGTTTAGATAGGTTTTTCACCTTAATTCCGAGATGCAACTTGCGGATTGCTTTCTCGGATATGTAGGATCGCGTGGATCCTGAGTCCAACAATGCACCTACACGTGTACGTGCAATCTCTACATCTGCGAGTAGTAGATCACCCTTAGACTTAGATTTCTTAGCCCACGAGCTTCGTAGTGCCAGCGATTCGTTACCAAGCTCGTCAAGGGAGTCGTCCAGAGAGACAGTACATAAGACAGGTTCAGGGTGTTCCGGATGATGGGCCGAAGAAGAACCATCCTCTGCCATGCGAGTCAAAGGGTTGGAAGGGTTAGTAGACGCCTTACCTTCATCTTGGTCCAAACCCTTAGACTCAGTAGGAGAAGATGCTACTCCAATTGGCGGCTCGCTTTTGGGTTACGGATAAGTGGGCACCATGCAATCACATGCCCTGCGGTCCCACACTTCAAACATTGTGCGTTATCCATTCTTTCCTGCCACGTTTCCTGTGACAGACCCGTCTTTTCCCAAGGCTTCTCGACCGCAATCCCGGGGTGCTCCGGGAACGAGCGTGGCCTCTTCTTCTTGACTGGCGGTCGTGGTCCTGCCCTGTTGACCACGACAACAGTGACTTCCCCCTTCCCGGAATCACTGCTGCTCACCACACCCTCGACCTCCAATGACCACTTCTCCACGGTATCGTCATCAAAGACGACAAGGGTGTGGTCCTGGCGCTTTTGGCGCCAGAGTATCCGCTTACCTGTACCTTCACCACCACCATATTTCGCAACAGACTCATAAGAGTTCTTAACCTGAGAAGTCATTTGCTCTCGTTGGAGAGCCAGATCCCGAAACTGCCTATAACTATACTTACCAGACTTGGACTCTGCCACAAGTTGTCCACGGATGGGCTCGGGCAGAGCTCGGGAATAGATGTATAAGACTTGGTTGTCTTGTAGGTTCAATCCCGGAACCTGCAGCAACCGATCAACTTCCTGAGACAGCGATTTCACAGAGGTCCAATGTTTCTGACCAATTGTGGTGAGCTGCTATGAAACACCCGCAGACGCGTCCGCGGGGCCGAGCTCGGATCGCGGACCCAAATGGGTCCGCATCCGCGGTTGACCAGGTCCACACCGCGAACGTGATTTTGCAAGAATTTTCTTGAATTAAATAATGGGTAAAAAAAAAATAAAAAAATATGGGGTTATAGGGAATTTCAAGCCCTACAACCCCATATATATTTTTTTTTGGATCCGAGTGTGTTTAGGATTTTTAAAAAATCAAAAACTAAATTGGATTTAAAAAAATATATATATAAACCAGGAATTTTTTTTTGTCATTTTTTATCATGAGATATATGGTCCGTTAGTTTACCTGTATTTTTTCAGAAATGAATTTATGTTTTTTGCAGAAGTATGAGGTGTTTT